CACGGCGGGTAGAAAAACTGCCGCACGCCACGAGGCGTGCGGCACAGAGAGTAGCAGTAGCAGTTGCAGCGGAAGCAACGAGGTGGTGAGCCCACCCACAAGATCGATCCAAGGGGATCGACCTGCTCTGATAGCATGTTGAAGTTTAGAAGAAAGAAGAGGATTGCACTGGCAAGAATGGGGATAGAAATAGCAAACCCTAGAAGGGTTGTACTCGCTATAGAGCACCCCACTACAGGCTAGAGCATAAGATAACATTCTGACACCGCACCCTCGCACTCACCTTTCCACTCACTTTCGCACACTCACTTGCACTCACACTCATACTCATACTCACTCTAACACTTGCTCTTGCACTGACCCTTGCACTCACCTTCGCATTCACTCTCGCACTCATGCTCGCACTTCCTCTCGCATTCACCCTCGTACACACACTCTTATGCACCCTCAAGAGCATGCGTGCACTCACTCGCACTCACACCCGCACTCATTCTCTCACACTCTCTCGCACTCACGCTCGCAACCACTCACGAACACACAAGTACTTCTAACCGTTCTGAGACACACTTACAGAAACACACACATAAACCCTCACGCTCACCTTCGGACTCGCGCTCCCGCTCACCCTTGCACTCATTCGAACACGCACACGCACACACAGCCGCTCGTACACTCGAACTCAACTCGCACACACACCCACACTCGCACCTACAGCCACGCCCACACTCACGCTCGCACTCCTTCTCTCAGTCCTGCTCGCCCTCACTCTCCCACTCTCTCTTGCACATACTCGTACTCACCCTCGCACTCACTCTTACACTCACACCACGATCACCCCTGCATGCACTCAACATTGCAGCCACCAACTCACTCACTCTGCCTCACACTCTCGCACTCACTCTTCACTCACACAAATATACTCTCAACTCTTCTTTGACACTTACAAAAACACACACACCCTTGCATATGTCCTCGCGCTCACCCTCACACACACTCAATCGCACCCTCGTGTTCCCTTGCACTCTACCTCGCACACACACACACAATCACGCGCGCACTCACCCTCAAACTCGCCCTCACACTCACACTCGCACTCACTCTCAAACTTGCTTTCTCACTCACCTTCTCACTACTCTTGCACTCACTCATGCGCTTGCTCTCTAATTCAACCTCGCACTCGCCCTTCCGCCCACAACTGCACTCACCCTCGTGCGCATCTCACTCTTGCACTCACACCCACACAAGCACCTAAATTCACACCCGCACTCACCCTCTCGCACACTCTCGACTCGCCCTTGCAACCACTCACGCCCTAAGCACAAGCGCACACGATGCAGAGCCCTAATCGCAAGCGACATAAGCGCCTTAGGGGGTAGTATTCAAGGCGCTCGCGCCATAAGGGCAAGGGCGTTGAGCGCTAACACCTACGGCGCCCGCGCCAACGGCGCAAGCGCCTTTGGGGCCAGCACTCATGGCGCTCAAGCCCAAGGCCCCAGCGCCCTAAGCCAAACGCCTAAGGATTCAGCGCCCACGGGGTCCCCGCCAATGGCGCAAGGGCACAGGGCTCCTGTGCCCACGGCACCAGGCTACTACAAAGCCATAGGTTTCGAATTTCACAGTAAGCGCACTAAACACCAACAAGCAGGTGGCGCTAGCTCACAAAATACAAGTGCATCACACTACGAAAGCGTGTTTCAGCCAAGCATCCTAGAAGCCACTCACAATAGGTCACAATGCGTAAACATTCTTTTCTTACAGATCTCAGCCTCCGTACTTCTCTAAAACTCAACCAACCCCTGCCCTTTCCTTCTCTCTCTATCGCTCTTTCTCTAACTCTCCCTCTCTCTTACTCACCATTCACCCTATTTCTCTCCCTCTCGCTATCTCCACTCATCTAACCCTTTTCTCTCACCTGTGGCGACGATGCTCGCACCCAGCGTTGCTGCTTCCGCCGCCGATAAGAGCCCTCGCATGTGAAATCTCTGGACGGCGAGTGTCGGGAACGGGCGGGAAAGGGGAGGGTGATAGTTATGAGCATGTGCGCGTGATATCAGCAAACGCAAGGCATGTGCATACGATGATTTCGCGCTTTGCACTAGAACGCGAGGGAAACCGCATAGTGCCAAACCAACGAATACAAGGCCGGCGGGCTTGGCGCTAGAGAACACCCAAGGCGCCATCGGCCTACGCCGCAGCGCCTTAGGCACGAGCGCTCTAGGGACATCGCCCTAGGTCCTAAGCGCCCACAGCGTCATCGCCCACGCTGCCAGTGCAGACGGCGACAGCGCCCACGGCGCCAGCGCCAGCGCGCAAAAGCGCCAGCGCCCACGGCGCCATGCGCCAGCGCCAGCGCCCAAACGCGCAAGCACCAGCGCGCAAAGGCGCCAGCGCCCAAAGGCGCAAGCACCAGCGCGCAAAGGCGCCAGCGCCCACGGCGCCATGCGCCAGCGCCAGCGCGCAAAGGCGCCAGCACCAGCGCCAGCGCGCAAAGGCGCCAGCGCCAGCGCCCAAACGCGCAAGCACCAACGCGCAAAGGCGCCAGCGCCAGCGACAGCGCCCACAGCGCCATGCGCCAGCGCCAGCGCCCAAAGGCACCAGCGCCAGCGCCCAAAGGCACAAGCACAAGCGCGCAAAGGCGCCAGCGCCTGCGCCCAACGACGCCAGCGACTTACGCACAAGGCCGAGTGCTCTATTATATGCTATTGCGTAATGCACGAGGGAGGACAAGCGCTCTAGGCGCGCAGCTTAGACACTAACAAGGTAGCATTCGTTAGTACCTGAGGTAGTTGACTTTCTTGATTGATATCGCGAAAGTTGGAAAGGGCGTGAGAGAAAGTCTCGAGGGCAACATAGGGAGGAGCGGTTGGGTGGGAGGGCAACAAAACCCTAGCCAGCTGGGTGATAATACTGTTCACCCAAGTCAGCAAAATATATTATGTAGTGTAAGTTTGTTCCTCTTGCTACAAGTTCCAATCTGTTGCTAGTTTGATTGTTGACAATTAAATGATATAGATATGTGCCATTCTTATCTCGTCATCGATTCGTTACCCACTATTGGTCATCTTGGTGTATCCTTTTGTTTGCACATTTTATTATACCCACGCAACATATCATACTGCCAATAAAAAATCAATTATTTTCTCAACTAAAAAAAATATGACACTTGTGACGTATGGTGGTTGATAATATCCCGTCTATTAAAGATCAAAGTACTGTATTTCATTTTAACATTGTTATGCCTTTTGTTTCATAGGTGAGTAACTCTTCATATGGATGTGTTGAACGTTATAAGAGAATTTCTGACACTCTACGCAACGCAAGCCTTCCGACGTGTAAGCGTCGAGCCTTGTTTTTGTCAACCTTTGTTCTACATTCAGTCCCATTCTGCCCTTAGTGAACGCATGCTGGAGAGAGGAGCACAGGGAAAGATGGGGAAGGGGACTGAAATGGGCATCATGTGTACACTCAAGGTTCTCGCCGCGTCCCGCGTCCTATATACCTCAGAGCGATCAGTTTGGTGGAAGGGGATGGAGTAGGAGAACTCGGACTTCAGCAAACAAAAGTCGCAACACAAAGCTTTCCTAGACCAGGGTGGAGACCGTTGTCCCACATTGTCACGAGGACAATGCCTCTCATCCACCCGCAAACAGTTTCGAGCATGACCCGGTCACTCTGTGAGCACTATGCTCGGCAAAGCCAAGGTCCTGACGGGCCGCCGGGCACATCGGAAGAAAACTTAGGGTTTATCGGACCTCATGATGAACATCAGCCTGCTCTATGCTTTCGAATTTATGAGAACACATTTGTCCGTACAGTGCTCCTGGGCATTTTATGGTCAAATGTCAACAATGGTGACCAGCGCGGAGCAACACGTCGTCGCTGTTGGAGGGATCATTCCTAGGGTGCCACCAAGGATGCTGAGAAACTCCAGAAGCTGCTGCTCTACAATACAGTACCATACAGTAACCCAAACCTTTCGAGTGCCCATTGCCCAGCCCAAGCCCAGGGGGAATTGGTGCGTCCTTCCTTGTTCCCTCATTTTTCGTGACACATCACTCTGCTGCGCTGGATCTGTCACATCAAGTGTACACCCTAATGCTCACTCAACCGCGCACTCTGAACATGCCTCCTGCCACTCCATACGCCCAGTGGTCGACATTCACAGCCAACGGCCCGCGCCTTACTAGCCCACGACAAAACCAAGATGTTCGAGTTTCCCAGACAAAACACGCTGGGCTACCCACAATTTCCGCAACTGTAGTTTTTTTGTCAACATTTGTTCTACATTCAGTCCCATTCTGCCCCTAGTGAACGCATGCTCGAGAGAGGAGCACAGGGAAAGATGGGGAAGGGGACTGAAATGGGCATCATGTGTATGGTGAAGGATGCGGTGGCCCACACCGCGCTAGTGTTGCCATCCCAGCTGTAATCATTCAACAATGGTGCTGGGTGACTGCGTGTGTGATGTGATCAGCCAACAACACAGACTTGGCCTCGCCTGAGGCTGGCATGAGGACGGCTCGTGGTGGTCCACCATGAATCAGGATTCAGGAACTCACTACTCCATTTTCTTTGTACATCCTGACCGCACATTACAGTACAGTACCGCAATTGTCAGCCTTCCCACCCACCTGATGGATGCTCGGCTTCGAGCTTCTAAAGAGCTCGCTCCAGAATCTCAATCTCTCGCTACCTCCTCAAGGCTCTACGCTGCCGGTTCCTCTGGTCCGTACATTTAGCCTCGCCTCATGCTCTACCTACGCAAAACCCCAGCCCTCCCTGAGACAATCCGGCTTGTCGAATTTTTGGCATGCCCGTTCGCGTTCCGTAGTGGTTAGTGCCGATAACGCGTCGATCATCATCATCGTCATCCTCTACATAAATAGAGCTCAATACGGGGCCATTGCTCCGCTCGCCGCCCTGCCGCCAACACACTTCTCAGGCTCAGCGTTCGAGTCTACGTACTATTTTGCTGCTATCATTCCCTAGTTTCATCCGACATGAGCCTCGTACTACCGGAGAAGCGCCTGTGCCGCGCGCAGCCTGATTCGGGGTTGCCGCCATCGCAGCTGCTCCTCCTCCCCACGTCCGTGCAATGGCGAATCCTGGACCTCCTAGACGCTCGCTCGCTCGTTTGCCTCTCGGGCTCGTGCCGCGAGCTACGGACCGCCGTCTCCGCCTCCGCTGATCCGCAAGCCGCGCTTCGATGGCGCCGGTAATACGTTATCCAGTAAACCTAATACTATCCGCGATGTTGAACGCTCAATGATGATTCTAACCTTATAAAGCATCATGTCCGTTCGTATTGAGGCCTTTCTGGGCTCACAGTGCTATTTTCAGCTGCGAATCTTGACCTTATCTGGTTAGCACCCTCCCTTACGCTTACCAAGACGCAACCCTTACCCATCGTGTTTCTCTTTTCCTGACTCCCCGCCTTTCCCGAACGCAGCCTGTGTCAGGCAAAGCTTGGTCCGTGCCTGGGCGCGCTGCACGAGGCGTTCGCGCGCCACCAGATGCGCCAGCGCCTGAAGTCCTCGCCGACCTCTTCGCTCCCCCCGGTCGACCATCCGCGCCTGAAGCCCCAGCAACCCCAGTCGGCGCTCGAACACGGCGAGAATCCGCATTTTCAGGGGGAGAATCGGAGTCAGCCCGAGCAGACGCCGGGACCGCCAGCGCAACAGGGTCAACTGCAGGAGCAGCCGCAGTCACAGCAGCAGCAGCAGCAGCAGCAACAGCAGCAGCAGAAACAGGCGCAGTCACTGCAGCAGCAGCAGCAGCAGCAGCAGCAGCAGCAGCAGCAGCAGCAGCAGCAGCAGCAGCAGCAGCAGCAGCAAGAGCAGCAGGAGGAGGAGGAGCGGGCGAGCAGCAGCGACAGCGCCTGGCAAATGGCGTGGCATTGGAGCTGGGAACCACCCCCGCAACTTCCTGACCTCGCCACTCTCCCTACCCGTGACCCCGCCCGCACCAGAAGATCAACGTGCTGCTCGGTGGGAAAGCGGCCGTTTCGGCGATCGGCGGGGCTGCGGTCGCGGTCGGGGGAGCTGTCGCTTGCGCCGATGGCTGCGGCAGCGGTGGCGGAGGGATACGGCGAGACGTGGTTCTGGCAGCGGCTGTTCGGCGCTGCTGTGCGCCCGCGCGACGTGCAGTGGTGGCCGGAAGGGGGGAACGCATTGCGCCAGAGGTAGGGTTGGCGCGGCGGATGAGAGCAGGTGGTCCATCCAAATTGGGGATGGCCGCAGCGAGGGGAAGAAGGGGGGGTGGAAGCGCGGAAGCGTAAGGTGGAATGCGGAAGGGGGAACGCGGATGGCATGTGGGTGGAATGGGTTGTCAGCGAACATTGAGCTGCACAACTTGGCCTCTTTGCGGTTTGCAGAATTATTCGTAGCACTTATACCCATTTCCTCTCCTCCCTTTTCTTCCACATTCCGCTTCAGTTTCCGCCTCTCGTCTTCTGTTCCCCCTTCCGTTCCTCTTCCCTCCACCTCCCTATTCCCTCTCCCCGCTCCCCTCTATCCGTTCCCAGCCTCATATCGTCGTGGCGCGCGGAGCGCGCTAAATCGGGAGGCGCAGTCCCCTCCGCGGGGCTACAGACAGCGCAGCTGCTGCCGCTGTGTCGGCAGGCGGACATGGGCATGCGCGCGGGTGCAGGCGGAAGCGCGGGCGCGGGGAACGGGAAGGGGGGCGGGGGGGACGCGGAATGGCCAGCATATGACGAGTCAGCGGCGGCTGCGCTGGAGATGCTCGAGCGCACAGGGCACTCCGCCACTCAGGTAGGGCAGGCGGGGTGGGGGAGGGGGATGCGGGGGAGACGCGGGGTTCGCCCAGCGGAGGTGGTTGGAGATTACCAGCGGAGATGCTATGTTGGGGAATGGGGAAAAGGCGGAAAGGCGAAGTGGAAAGTAAGGGAGCAAGATGCTGGCGCATCTGTGATGATGTTGTTGTTTCTGTCATGCCGTGCATGCGCCACGCCAAGCATCTCCACTGCATGAAGCTTCCTAGTCTGACCTGACTCGCCGTCCGACGTAACCCTTCGGTGCAAGCCCACTCTTCTTTATGTGCTGCACCACCCATGGCCTTGGCATCTCTGGCTCACTAGGCACACATCTCCCACGTTTGCTTCAGCGCGCCCCTCCTTTTGTGTGCCGTTGTTGGGAATGGACAATGTAATCTGGACTGGAATGGGATGGAATGGATATGAGATGGGATGGAATGATATTCAGGTGGGCGAGCTGCTGGTGGTGGTCGGGGGATTGAGTCGGCAGGGACAGGCGACAATAGACGTGCTCGTCTTCCACCTCGCCTCGCTCGCTGCCTGGCGCCCTGCCGTGCACACATGGGGGGGAGACGCGCTGCCCCGCCGCCGCTTCCGCCACACCGCTGCGCTCATTCACCCGCCTGCTGCGCTCAGAGCGGGGGGGTTTGCACAGGAGGACGATCCGATTCTGTTCATGTTCGGCGGATACGATTTGGAGGTGCGTGCATGCGTGCGGGAGGGTGGGTGGTGGTTTGTAGGTGCGTGGGTGTGTGAGTGTTTAGGTGGGTTGATGGATGGATGGTGGATAGTTAGGAGGGAGGATGGATGGATAAAGCACTCGTCCCTCCTTGACCCCCCATCAGCCGCTCGTCACTGCCTCTGTCTGTCCCTCTTCCTCCTTCGTGTGTGCGTGCGAGCATTGCTCTCGCCTTCTCATTGCTTGCGTTCCATGCCCGCCCCTTTAAGCCGTTCTTTCCTCGGCCCCTGATGTGCTGCATCTGCGTGCATGGATGCGTGTGTGCTGTGCTGCGTGCAGGGCAACGTGCATGGCATGGCGGAGTCCTCCGTATTCCTCTGCCTCTCCACTGCAGGCTGAATCCGAGTCACTTTATGAAATTTCTTAAAACCCTTCCTCATGTGCTGCGTGTCCCGCTGTGTGCAGGGCAACGTGCATGGCATGGAGGGGGCCTTCTTCCTCTGCCTCTCCACTGCAGGCCGAATCCGAGTCACAGGCTGAAACTTCTCAAAAGCCTTCTGCATGTGCTGTGTGCTATCACTGCATGCAGGGCAACGTGCATGGCATGGAGGAGGCCTTCTTCCTCTGCCTCTCTGACGCAGGAGCCACTGCCACGTGGCGCCGTGCGCACACCAGAGGCACCATGCCCTCAGCGCGCTTCCACCATGCCATGGCTGCCTATGCTAACGGATCCAAAGTGCTCGTCTACGGGTGCGTTGCTGTCCCGTCCCGTCCCATCCCGTCTCGTCCTGTCTCGTCCCGTCCCATCCATGCCACCCGCACTGAGATGGCTTTTTTGCTGTTCCGAACTTTCTCCTCCCGCATACTTGCACTCCTTTCCTCTCGCCCTCCGCAGTAGTTTCCCTCTCCTCGTTGCGTCTTCCCTCCTCTCGCTCTTTCTGAGAACCCTTCTGACCTTCCCTTCTGTTTCGTTCGCACAGCACCCGTCCGTCCTCCTTCCTTCCTCTCTCCTCCCTCCCGCTTTCCCGCACTCACGCCGTCCTTTCTCCTCCCTCCTCCCTCCTTCCCGTTCTCCTATCCTCTCTGCATGTCATGCTTTTCGTTTCCCTGAACAATGTGCTCACGCCTATGCATGCTCTTGCGTGCATGCAGAGGCGAAGGACTGGCAGTCAATGACTGGGACGTGGTGGGAGGAGTGCGACAGGAGGGCACGCTGGCACAAGGGGAAGTTGGAAGAGAGCACCCAGAGCAGGTTGAGCGGAGGGCAGAGGACGAGAGGGGAGGCAGGGCGAGAAGAGGCAGGGAGAGGGTAGAAGGAGAAGGGGAAGGAGAAGGGGAAGGGGCAGTGGGGAGAGAAGGTGAGGCAGTGGGAGGAGGAGAAGACGGGCATGGAGAACGACGGCAGCGACTGCGGCTGCAGCCACAGCAGGTGCAGCAAGCCGAACAGCAGCAACAGCAATTTCAGCAACAGCAGCTGCAGCTGCAGCAGCAGCAGCAAGAAAGGCAATCTGAAGCGTTGCAGCAACACGAGCAGCAGCAGCAGCAGCAGCAGCAACAGCTCCAACTAGACGAGCAAAATCACAGTGGCAGGGGTGAGGGCGAGAGGCGGCAGGCAGGGGGGCAAGAGCAAGGGCTGCATTGTGTTGCGCAGCAGTGCACGTTGGATGAGATACGGCGAGACCAAGTCTGTGCGAGGGGTCAGGGCAGAGCTGATGATGGTAACGAGAGCAGCGAGGGGAGGAATACCCGGAAGAGTGAGGGGGAGGACGAGGGGATGAGTGGGTGGGGGAGTGAGAGTAGGTGTGGAAGCGAGTGTGAGGGTGAGGGAAGCAGGGGTGGTGGCGCTGTCACGCGCTCTGAAACACCCAGCAACAGCGGTAGCAGCGGCGGCAGGTGCAATAGCAGCAACAGCAGCAGAAGTGTCCGCGAAGTGAGTACTGGTCACCGCAACAATGGTGCCGCGAGTGTGGCTGGAGCAGACAAGGGTAGGGGTGGGGCTGCGTCAAGTGGTGGCAGTGGCAGTGGCAGGGGCAGTGGGAGGGAGAGCGGGTGTGGGTGTGGGTGTTGCGAGCAGTCACCGGTGGCATGGGAGAGAGTGTGGAACAGTGTGGGCGGTGAACAGGGCAATGGGAGGGCAAGGAGGCCAGCCAGCGAGGAGGCTCATGGGGAAGGCGGGCATGGGGAAGGCGGGCATGGGGAAGGCGAGCGTGGGGAGGGTGGGCGTGCGCTGGTGGTGTACGTGCTGGATGTGAGCAGTATGACATGGTCGCGCGTGCCCACGCATGGGGTGTGCCCTGGTGTGCGCATCCTGCACTTCGCCACCACCTACACGTGAGTCGTGTCGCTCTGCGCTTCGCTGCTCGTCAACACCGTTTATGGCACTGCACCCTGAGCACGCTGCAGCACCCTGCAGCACGCTGCAGCACCCTCCAGCACCCTGCAGCTCCCTCCAGCAGCACATCGTGCTGCTCCCGTGGTCCGAAGTCCTTCTTTGGAGACTAGCCTCCTCTGCAGCTGCGCTTCTCATTTTACGTCTCCGGCTCGCATTGCCTAGACTCTGTTCAGTCCAGCTCACTCTCTTTTCCCTTCCTGCATGCTCTCCTTCTATGCAGCTGCGGTGGTTCTGGCATTGAGCATATGGTCATCTTCGGCGGGTACAGGGACGACAGCACCAACCTGGAGACCATGCAGGTGCTGCCTGCCTGCCTGCCTGCCTGCCTGCCTGCCTGCCTGCCTGCCTGCCTGCCTGCCTGCCTGCCTGCCTGCCTGCCTGCCTGCCTGCCTGCCTGCCTGCCTGCCTTCCTTCCCTGCACTGCACGCGCATTCCGCCCCTCTTCTCTCTCTCTTTCCCTCTCTCAAATTTTCACCTCCTCATTCCGTAGGTTTGCAGTGTCCAGCTCGCTCGCAGTCTTTCGCTGTCTCTCTGTTCCTTTCACCTCCTCAGATAACATCTTCCCATCTTTACGTCTCTTCACTTTCTCCGCTCCCGCCCGTCGTCCCCAGCTCTATGTCCACAGCCTCGTCTCCAAAAGGTCTCTTTGCTGATGTGACATTCAATCAAACAAGCACCTCCCCGCTGGCTCCCCTGTTCCCCCCGTCCCCTTCTCTCCCCGTCCCCCCGCCACCCCTGTCCCCTCATTCCCTCCGTCTCCTCCCTCAGCCCTATGCTCTCAACCTTGCCTCCATGGAGTGGCGTCGTGCCCGCTCCTCCGCCCCCACGCCTGCCCATCTCCCGGAGTCAAACCGCGCTGCAGCATACCAGCCTATCGCTCGCAACCGCAGCGGCCTTACCAAGGTACCTACCTGCTTGGCGGTCGCTGCTCTGTTGGTTTGTTTTTGCACTCTTGTTGCCGCCGCTGTATGTTTGTTTGCGCTCTCGTTGTTCCCACGCACGCCAGCAAACAAGCGAGCGAGCGAGCAAGCAAAGCACGCACGCACATGGACACCTTCGTGCTTGTCTTGCCGATTTTCCTACAGCCCAGTGTCTTCTCAGCTGTCATCCTCCCTAACACCCCACTCAGTGTAATTCTCAAAGTTCTGCCGACGCCAGTCCCAACACGTGCCCACCTGTTTCCGTTTCCTGTTGCGCCCACTGCTGCGCTTCGTGCCTGTGTGCATACGTGCAGGTGGGGAACGACACGTTGCTGCTGACAGAGGGCACCATCTATGACACCCGCAGCTACCTCCGCGATGTGCACGCCCTGCACCTGCCCTCCCTCTCCTGGTGCGTGCCTGCCTGCGCACGTGCGGCTGTGCACTCTTTTCCTCCCTCTTGACCACACGGATACTCGTTCTGTTTGGCCTGTGCTGCTTTCTCTCACTCTCTCGTCACTCTCGCTCTCGATCCCTTCTCCCCCAGTCCTCCCCTCCCCCCTTCCTCTCGCCACACACAGCTACCAAATAAAAACACACGCACAGCACCATGAGCCACGCGGATTGCACTCCATGCCCGTCCCACGGTGTCTCTGCTGTGTGTGTGGCATGGCAGGTCGCCTGTGAGGGCACATGGGCAGCCAACAGCGGGCCCCAGTGGAGGCCTCACAGCAGAAGGGCTCATCGCCTATGGCGGCTGTGTGCTAGGTAAGTTGCCTTACCTTGCCACACATCAGTGTGCTGAGCTAGTGGTTTTTTGCAGGCAGCTGTTTTCTGGGTGTTAGTGCGCAGCGCCCTGTTCTATTCCCTGCCCTGTGCACCTCTCCGTCTCTCTGCCATGCATTGCAGCAATTCCATTCTTCACCTGATCCCCATGCACTGTTCACCATCCAAACCGGCCCTTCTCCCACAAGACATTCGTGCTTCAGAGGCAGTGTACAGGCCCTTGCCTTCCCAGCTATACCCTACCTACCCACACACCCACCTCCGCCCTCCCCATCTCTCCTCCCTCCTCCTTCTCCTCCTCCTCCCGACTCCTTCCGTACCCGCTCCCCCCGCTCTTCACCACCAGGCACGCTGGGCATTCAGCTGATGGCGAGGGTGGATCCAGTGGTCATCGGCTCATGGGGAGAGCTGTCTTTATTTAGTCGACTAAAAAATCTCTCTCCCCCACCCCTCCCTCCCTTCCTCTTCCTACTCCCCCTGTCAACAGGCACGTTGGGCATTCAACCAGTGGCGAGGGTGGATCCCATGATCATCGGCTCATGGGGTGCACTGTCCCCACCGCAGCCCCAGCCTCCCCCCGCGCGCACCTGCTGCCGGCCCTGGCTGCGCCTCTCTGCTGGCCTCTCGCTGCTGCCGCTTCAGCCCATTGAACTTGTCTACTCCTCCACCTCCCCACCCGACTCTGCTGCTGCTGCTGCTGCGATGGAGAAAGCTACCGTGGCCCATGGAACAGGAGGGGCTAGCAAAGGGGGTTCGGCTGACAGGAGTGATTTGCTTGGCAGCCCCAGTGAGGAGGACTGTTCTGCGCCTGCGGTAGGCCAAGGTGGGATGGCCGTGCAGCGTGTGGGCGTGGAAATGTGTGTGTGCTGTGCGCTGTTCTACTCCTTGCCTTGCCTCTCATGTGCTGGTTGTGATAGATTCCCCGGTGTTCTTCTCGTCCTCCTTCCGGCC